TTCTACAGAATTTTAGCCTTGCGTTGCCGGCACTGGGAGGCCAAAAACAACGAATGGAACACCAGATCACATTTGCACTGCCATCTTGGAAATTCTCCAAGCCCTTTTGGCATTGAAAGAAGTGGGCACTACTACGTTTTCAATATGTCGGACGAGTTGTTGTTTGAAACGCGTCTGAAGTAAAAGCATATATTTTGTGGATTTTTGAGCTCGATTTCAAGTATAATGAGGATTATGGCATCATCAGAACAGAGTGTAACCAAGACCAAATCCGGACTGATCGCCCCAGGGACTACTCGCCCCAGCACTTCAAACGTCACAGAGGGAAAATTCCGACCGCATTCCATTTGTAGAATTTAGCATTCTTTGCATTCTATTTCAGTTTATTAGCATTCCCTCGGGAATACATTTTGTTTTTCTTTCCCGCGTTCGCTATAATTTAAATGTTGTAATATTCTAGCTTTTTAGTTTCATCGTTGATTTCACCAAGAGAACATCTGGTTTAGTTGCCCTTTTTTCGCGGCCTACAGCGCCGATACAATGTAAGTTCCTGGTTATTATGTTCATCGCGTTCGCTTTAGCCGCCTTTCAGTTTTATATTTCTGCATTTTGTAAACTTGTATTTTTGTTGGTTCTTTATTAGTTCAAACCTCTTCCTCTATCGAGCGTTTGAAATCATTGCTGTAAGCGGCCACGAAAGGACACGCCTTTTGGCAGTAACACACGTATTGCCGAAGGCATGAACTAACTCTTTTAAAACATAGCAGTACAGCAACAAAATGAATGAATTTGGCAAACGCTTGTATTAATTATTCTGAATAAAGGCTGATAGTTTCGAAAAGAACTGTTTGGGGCTGCGTCGGTGGGATTAACGAAATAATCTGGATGTATCAACAAAGTTAAAATGGTTAGCCCTTCGTTTCGAGCGTTAGCCCTTCGTCGGAGCGACGAAGGGCTAACGCTCGAAACGTCAGCTTTTGTAATCATTACGGTGGCCAATTTACCATTTCAACTTTGTTGATATATCCAAATTATATCAAATATTCAGTTTGTTACCTCTGAAATACCAAGACAAAGGACTATGTACGTTCCCAAGCTGATTCTTACAAATGTCATGTCTCTAGTACCGAAGATGGATGAAGTTCAGGAGTTTATTCATCGCAACAAGATCTGTTTTGCCTTCATTACTGAAACTTGGCTTAAAAATCGATTCCAGAAAGCGTTATCAACATCCCAGGATTTATTATCATATGCAGGGACAGAGTTGTCAACAATCATGGTGGTGTGTGCGTTTACATCAAAGATTGTGATATCAAGTAAAAGGTCCTCCATGAACGTAGGTGTTGCCAAGATCATGAAATTGTTTGGCTCCATCTGAGACCTACTCGTTTAACGACGGGTTTTTCCTGCTTAATTGCTGGTGTCGTTTATCACCCACCCGGCGGAGAAGATAGTTCTATTCGAGATCATCTACTCCAATCATTTGTTCTGGCGGAGACAAAGTTCCCGAACTGCGGCTTCATAGTTGCGGGCGATTTCAATTGTCTGCATGTTACAAGAATCAAGAAACATTTCCGACTAAAGCAAATTGTAAAATCTCCGACTCGCACGGACGTAATTCTCGATTTTGTGTTGACTAATTTGAACGATTATTATTTTTCACCCTAAAGTTTTCCACCTTTCGGGTTGTCTGACCACAATACACTCGTGGCCTCGCCCAAAGTAAGATCCGAGAACTTGAACACTAGGAAAGTCATTTATAAGCGTGACTCCAGAGCTAGCTGTAAAGCAGCCATAGGACGATATTTGTGTGCCCTGGAATGGCCTCTATTAATTATTCAATTCTCTTCAGAGTTGTGAAGATTTGTTGACCACCTTTCAAAAAGTGATTAGTACTGGTCTCGATCTACTCATGCCCTTGAGATAGATCCGCGCAATTCCATCTGACGTCCCCTGGATGTCCCATAAACTAAAGTCGCTGATTCAGAAAAGACAGGAGGTTTTTTTTAAAAGCGGAGCAACTTCCATCCAGTTTAAGTGCTATAGAAACGCTGTCAACCGCGAGAGAAAAGTATGTAGGGCTAACTATTACTAGTCTAGAGTGCAGCAAATGAAAGGTGAACATCCCAAAGCCTGGCGGAAAGAGGTTAAGTGATTAAGTGGAATGCAGTCTCGCAGTTGCGACCTGCTATATAAATTGGATGTCGAAGAGATCCAAGATCGAACTGCTAACACCATTTACAAGGCATTCCTTGAGCCGCTAGACTGGATACCGATCGACCAGTCTGCTGACCCCTTTGCCGCTAGAGGATTGTCCAGAATTCCTGGAGGCAACTGAAGAGAGAACCTACAAATTGTTGTCAAAGCTTAATCCCGCAAAGGCTACTGGACTCGATGGCCTTCCAAACTGGCTACTAAGAGAGTTTGCTAGCTTGGTCGCCTTCCTGGTAAAAACGCCTCCTTCAGTGAACAGCCACTGTTCAGTTTCTTGGAAATATGCTGATGTCACCCCTCTTCCGAAGAAAACGCCGGTGCGGAATCAGAAGACAGATTTGAGACCCATCTCTCTGACACCATGTCTGTCCAAGGTTGCGGAGGATTTTGTTGTAACTGATCATCTTAAGCTAGCTGTTATGAAAGTACTGGCTACTAACCAGTACGGAGCTGTCCCCAAGTCCTCCACCACTATCGCCTTGCTCAGCATGATCCATGAGTGGATCACAGGAACTGACGGAACGGATCCACTGTTAGAACGATACTTTTTGATTATAGAAATACTTTCGATCTGATAAATCATGCCATTCTGATCAATAAATGAGGTAAACTAGATCTTCCTATTAGTGTAATCAATTGGATTATTGATTTTCTAAGTAACCGGTTCCAAAGAATCAAACTCGCTGAGGGATGCCTCTCTGATTGGGGGTCAGTTCCATCAGGAGTCCCTCAGAGGACGAAATTAGGGCCTTGGTTGTTTGTGGTTATGATAAACGACCTGGTAATCGATGGCACGCGTGTCTAGAAATATGTAGACGACACTACTGCACCTGGAGTTGTCGGAAACGGCGGGGTTAGTAGTGCCCAAATTATTGCTGATAAGGTAGTCGAGTGGTCTCTGGCTAACAGAGTCCAGCTCAATAATGAGAAATGCAAAGAGCTTCTAATCTCTTTTGCGAGAAATAAGGAAATATTTGAGCCAATTAGGGTACATGGAAAAGAGTTAGAGCTCGTTGATAGTGCAAAGTTACTAAGAATAACAAGTGATCTGTCATGGAACACCCATGTAAATGATGTTATCAAAAAGGCAGCCAAAAGGCTATACTTTTTAGTTCAGCTAAAAAGGGCTAAGGTTCCCTGCAATGACTTAGGGCTATTTTACATCTCGTGTGTAAGATCAGTTTTAGATTATGCGATCCCTGTGTATTGTTATTCACTCCCAAAGTATTTTTAAAATAAACGAGCTAGAGCGAGTCCAGAAGAGGGCTTTAAAAATCGTGTGCCCTGGCCTCAGTTACGATGAAGCTCTTAGTCACATAGAGATAACGCCGCTTAGCGTCCATCACAGTGATATTTGTGCCACGCTTTTATTTATTTAAGACATCCTAGGTGACTCATATCATAGGTTACGGGCATTATTGCCGCCTTCACATCAGGCTTGCAAATATTCACTTCGACTAACACGCAATTTTGACATTCCTAAAATAAACACGAAACATGTAAGAAATAGTTTTATAATTAAGTCATGTTTTAATATAAATACGCGGGTACAAATTAATTTAAGATCTTGTAGGTGGCTTTTCGAACTTAATAGTACTTTATTATATAGCATTATTACATATTAATTAATTTTATTACTTACATTTCAACGGTACGCAATTCAGCCCTTGGCTGCTATGTATTGTTTTTCAATAAAATCTATCTATCTATCTACCCAGTTATATAAGTCATCTTATGCGGTATTAATTTGAATAGTGCGAAATAAACTTGGAAACTTGAACTTGAGGCCTTCTATAGCATTTTACTCAAGTGTTCGCGGCGAACCTCGCAGAATATTCAAATGTAGTCCGTTGTCATTGTCGCGTAACTGGTGTCTGTGTCACCTTGCTGTCCGATTGGTAGGTCAGGACAATGAATTAAAGGGAGGTGTCACTGTGGGGATGGGGTAGGTACTGTACATTAATTAGATCTCACTTCCAGTGCCTTCACCCTTAAACTCTAAGAGGTGATTAAAATATAAACTCTTCGTGCGATTCCAATATGTTATGAAGGCAGCATGGTCGAGTGGTCAGCGTGTCGGACTTGGAATCCGCCGCTCCCTTGTTTAGGTCCCCCCCTAGCCGCTACTTGGATTTGTTTCACGGTAGCCCCGAGTTTCAAATCCTCGGCCATGCTTGTAATATAGCCAACTGGTTTGCCTTCGGTCCGTTGGGATTTTTAACAACGTTGTTTTCAATTTGAATTATTTGTTTAAGTTGTTTCGTGGAAAACTTGTAAACTAGCTTCTAGCTAAGTGTTTCTCCACGTTAAACTGTTTATTATTATCATTATTATTATCATTATTATTATTGCTTTTATCTTGCAAAAAGGTTATGAGAATAGACCAGCGTATCAGGGAATAAGTGTCTGATACAACACTAAATTCTCCTGTCTTATTTACAAAGAAATGTAAGGCAGTTGATAGGGAGAATTACTTATTGGATCTCAGGAATCGAAGGGTGAGGCCACTTGGCCACGCCTTCTCTACAACTTCCAATTAAATGATATTTCCACGAATATGTACTGTGAAGCAATAATTCTCTTCAATTTAGTTTGGAGATTATCTGTGAAAAAGCAGGCGACAGCTCCAAGACACATTGCTGACTAATAAAATTTGTGATTTATATATATATATATGAAGCATTTATACAGACACTGTTTTTGCCACTTGTAACGAACTTTTTGCTTGAAAGGAACATAGTTCAATTTAGTTTCCCAACTGAATTATTAGTAGAATAACACCACATTTACTTCAGTATGTATATTTTCTTAGCGGCTATGCAAGAGACTAGTATACGCCCATCTGGTGTTGTGACAATTCTAATTGGACCTTGTAGAGGAACGATAGTTTTTCCTGTGAAGCGACCGTCTAAAGAAAGTTGCTGAACTCTGTTGTTGTTATGGTCACACACAAGGAGGTTAACAGAGCCGTCTAAACACATGTCACGAGGTGTGTTGAACTGTCCATCTTGATTTCCTTTTTCTCCAAACTTGTACAAAAACGTTCCTGACGAATCAAATGCTTTTATACAGTGATTGTCTCTTTCAGATACCAGGAAAATGTTTTTGTAAGGAATACAGCTGTGTGGTCTGCTGAGTCTCTCTGGTCCACTGTCTCCTATTGTGAATACAGTTTCACCCTCTCTTGACATTACCTGAACTCTTTTGTTAAGGAATTCAGTGACAACAATACGTTCTGTATCGTCAAGAGAAATACTAAGTGGAAACCTAAACTGTCCTTTTCCCTCACCTTTTTGTCCAAAGGTTTTTAAAACAGAACCTGGGTGGATATTTAAGTGTTGTATTCTATTATTATATTGATCCGCAATAAAAATTTCGTTGTCATTTAAAAATAACACCCCACTGGGATATTTGAATTGTCCAGGATCTGTTCCTTCTTTTCCAATTTGTCTTAAACAGTGTCCTTCTTTATTGAACACATAAACACAATGTCCGTGATTATCTATGACGACGATGTCACCTTGCTTGTTAACAGCCAATCCATGAGGTTCTTTTAACACATGCCCTTGTATGAACTTCAAGTCCAACTCACCGACCACGACAATTTCACGTTCCTTCACTGGCAAAGGGAACGGACAGGTTGGAGGCTTTTCGCCATAAATCTTCACTTCAACACTGTAGGCGCCAGGCACTTTAGGTATAAACTTCAGTCTAAGATTGCCATCTTCTTTTTCTTGCACAATTACGTTTGTTACATCTTTGGCGGGTTTTATCAGCAATTCAACTTGATCCGTATCCTCGGCCTGGTCACTAGTCTCCCCTCCAGAAGTTTTTGGACATAACGTAAACTCTGCTTCTACACCAGCCTGAAAATTCTGATCCGGTATTTCCAGAGTTGAGTTGGCTGCTTTTGCCGGTTTCTCGGCGAGTTGAATAAAACCCAGTTTCAAGTCTTTTTGTGATGCTGCGGTAAATTGGACAAATGTAGCTTGGCGATGTTTTGGAACTTCAACTCTATGAAGTTTTTCAAATTTGTGCCTCAGAGTTGTTTTGGTCTTTATAATATCGAAGCCTGAGCTTCTGTGCACCAGATTCTCCGCAAACTCAGCTGCTTGGTTCATTTGTTTCACCAGAGATTCGAGTTCTTGTTTAGCCGAGTTGATTCGCTCTATTCTCTTCGTACGCGTCATTTCTAGGGACTTTAACAACTGCTCTTCTTGCTGACGCGTCTTAACGATCACGTGGGTAGCTGCCTCTGACACTTCATGCTTGGCGATTGCGATCATCGTTTGCGCATTCTCAGATGTTTTGTTCAGTTTTCGTATGTCGGCTCGAAACAAATTTGCCTTTTCTTTGAGAGACTCAACGTTTGACATAATGTATTTCTTATCTTCTTGCACTGCCTTTTCAATAACTTTGAACTCATGTCGTTGGTGTTGTTGAGCGAGGCAAACAGGACAAACACACGCTTCGCAGGAAGAGCAGAAATAACGAATTCTTTCGTTGTGTTGCGAGCAAAATGGCGGCTTCATCAACGCCTCGCGATCTTTTTTTTGAAGGAGACCTAGCAAACTGTTATGGTGAAAGCTGGTGGGCAAACGGTCGAAGCGATTGTCTTTTGGTAAATCGATTTCCGCCTGACACTCGGGGCATCGGAATTTTCTTTGTCTGTGGCTTTTTCTTGCATGTTCCTCCAAACACTTACAGCAAAAAGTGTGGAAGCACGATATCATTTTCGGTTCGGTGTAGGTATCGAGACAAATTGAGCACGTTACTTGTTTCCTGAGGTTTTCCACGAGGGGTTCCATCACGATCACCTTAAAGCACAGATTACTCAAGCGACGAATGTATACAGACACTTCAGAAAACAGAACAAAGTGCTTGACAGCTGAGCTCTTGTGGCCAACCAAATTCAAGCAGTTAGTTGACCTTTTTTTGTGACGTTATGTCAATTTGAAAGTTATTTTCTCATTTATAATGACCAGACCTGGTCGGTTGCGCTGAAGCCTTTCTGTTACGTTCCTTTTAAATGAAAGCCTTTCACTAACGGCATAGATGAAGACATATTAATGGAAAACAAAGTAAGGAGAATGAGGTGTTTATCACAAATTGAAAGCGAGAGGTCAAATTAGCCTTTTATGACGTTATGTCAATTTGAAAGTTATTTTCTCATTTATAATGACCAGACCTGGTCGGTTGTGCTGAAACCTTTCTGTTACGTTCCTTTTAAATGAATGCCATTCAATAGCGGCATAGATGAAGACATATCAATGGAAAAATAATAAGGAGAATGAGGTGTTTATCACAAATTGAAAGCGAGGGGTCTAATTAGCCTTTGCTTACTTCGTTTGGCCTGATCTTGTATACAGTGTTTTTTTTGTTGCTCGATGAAGTAGAACGCCGTGCACGACTAGACAACTGGAATATTTGATTTCGCAGAGCGGTTGAACCCGGGAGTAAGAGTTGTTTTAGTTTTTTGATCTTCCCAAAGAGGGGGATCCTTGAAAAGAACTGTTTTCATTGGAAGTAACTGATCTCTCAGAAACATAAGCGGAAGTAATGTGATGATTAGAGTCAGGTAAAGAATAGTTTATGAGTCCATTGTTTTTAAAAATGTTTCAAAGCCTTCAAACGGTTCATGCAAATTTTGACTGGCGAACCACTCAACCTTTTCCTTTAATGATAACTTTTGCACAGGGTAAGGTCGAAACGGTCTGTCACATTCACAGACAACAGTGAGTTTTACCCTCGCTTGGACGATTATACAAAACATAAACAGCGATTCACAGATCCGTCAGTTTGCGATGGGATCGTCCCTCTTAGTCGTAAAATTTCCATCGGTGTCGCGTTGTGAAATTAGATTTTTCCAGTGGTTTTGCATGAGGACAGACAGTAATTAAAAAAAAAATTTCAAAGAAACAGCCTTTGTTTCAGATTCTCAGAAAACAAAACAGATTAAGTGTGTACTCATCTATTTTTGGTTACAGTGAATGTATGAAGTTCATATATTTCATCTACTTTTGTCTTGTCATTGTCCTTGGCTCAGTTGACCTGGTTGTAACGTTAAACTGTTTATCTCACTGCGTCATTGAAGTGAATTTATATTTGTTTACAAATTTTATATTTACAAAATCCGTTGTAGAAGTTCTATTGTTAATGACAGAGGGGGAATTCATCGCCTGTAAATAAAGGAAAAACTTCAGGGCCACATGACATGCGCAAACCACGATTAAAAGGCTCGTTTAACAAATTTGTTACCCTTCATGGCTATTTAAATGTGAATGCTGCTCTCCCTCGCACCCTTCTTTTTTCATCAATTTTCTATCTTCTGTCAAATTCAATCTATGTAATTGTTCAAAACTCGTGAGGGATTAATTTTGCAACCCCTAAGCAACGCAACGCAACTTTGAAATGTTTTTGTCAACAAACAGTAATTTAAGACATGCATTTAATCCTGTAAATTGACGGTAAGAATCTTGCTTCAACGATTTTTTTTATCAAAGGTCGTCCTCGATTGGTTTTTCTCTAAGTCTCAAAAGAAGTTAAAAAACCATTGACGATAAAGCAGAAGTAGTGTCTGAACCCATTAGGACCCATTGCCATTAGAATTGAACTACTCCAGGAATAAAATGTTTTGGTTCAGAAAGCGACCATCAAAACTAAGTTGGCGAAAGAATTCTGTTTTCAGTGATCTCGAAGAAGATTCTTGGAGCTGTTCTAACACATGCAATGGGGTCTGTTAAAGTGTCTATCTTGATTGTTTAGAAAAGTTTAGATAGATCACTTTATTTATACACGGTAAACTCCACTCAGTCGTATACAAGCGTTACACCTACAAATGTAAAACTTAAAACTATATAATCATTATAAAATATATACAAAGATGAAAAGCCTAATCTAAACGAACTGAACTAACTTTTTATTAGAATGAAAATAAATGAAAATAAAAGTACTGCTTTTCAGGGATGCCGTGTCATTAGTTCACTCAAAACTGAAGTTACTTAGCTTCGTCTTAAACCCACCTAATGTTTCAGATACTCTAATATCAGTCGGAAGGCTATTCCACAACGCGGCACCGCTATAAGAGAAACTTTTACGAACATAATCGGTACGAGGGTGCGGAAGAGCCAGCCTCATTTCACTATTTCGCAATCTATAGCTAGAAGTATAATTACGAAAGATTAATTTATTTGATAAATAATCAGGTGCCTGTCCATTTAGAATTTTGAACATCATAACGGCTTTGGCAAAAAGTCTCTGATTCCTTAGATTTTTCCAATGAAGTCTACGGAACAGGTCTAGAGCACTAGAATCATAAGGGGCGGACAACAATATACGAGCCGAACGGTTCTGCAGCTTCTGAAGTTTTTCGGCCAGACTTTCATTTGTCTATTTACAAAGAAATGTATGACAGTCAGTAGAGAGTATTACTAATTGGATCTTGGGAGGTAACGGGTGAAGCCACTTGGCCACTCCTATTCTACAACTTCCAATCAAATATTTCCATGTACACGAACTGTGGAGCAAATTCTCTTTAATTTACTTTGGAGATTATCTGTGAAGAAACAGGCGACCGCTACAAGACACATCACTGAGTTAAAAGAAAATTGTGTTTTATGTTTACCTAACTACTTAAAACTATTTGTACATTTGTCTGTTTTTTTTTTCTACAAACTCTCTTCACATAATTTTTCTTCAGATTCCATTAGACCACGTTACAGTTCTTTGCCCTGATGAGTGCTGTTTCATCTTAAAATATCTCAGTACTCTTATTCGACCAAATCAAGTTGAGAGACAGAATACACGACCATGAAATAGTTAAACCTTTCTTAAACTCGTTCATGTTTCATTTTCTGATGATAGTTTTCCTATATATGTGACAGTGCATGGGGTATTAGTCAATTTTATTCCAAATCCTTTCTCCCCCCGCCCTCGACATCTATTTGAAGCTAAAGAAGCATTTACACAGGGAAACGTTTCTGCCACGAAATCGTTCGATACACCCAAAAATTTGACTCAATATAGTATCTGCTAGGATAAAACAATTAAATGATCGTGAATTACAACAAATCTGCGTCAGTATGTATATTTTCTTGGCGGCTCTGTAAGAGACTAGTTTACGCCCATCTGGTGCTGTTGTAATGTGATTTGGACGTTGTAACGAAGCAGTGGTTTTACCTGTAAAGCGACCGTCGAAAGAAAATTGCTGAACTCTGTTGTTTTCACAGTCACAAACAAGAAGATTATTGGACTCGGCTAAACACATGCCACGGGGTGTGTTGAACGGTCCGTCTTGATTCCCTTTTTCTCCAAACTTGTACAAGAACGTTCCTGACGAATCAAATGCTTTTATGCAGCGGTTGTCTCATTCAGATACCTGGAAAATGTTCTTGTAAGGAATACAGCTGTATGGTTTGCTCAGCTTCTTTGGTCCACTGTCGCCTATTTTGAACATAGTTTCGCTCTCTTTTGACATAACTTGAACTCTTTGATTTTTGCTTTCAGTGAAAAGAAGACGTTTTGTATCATCAAGGAAAATGCTAAGTGGTTTCTGTAAGTGTCGTTTTCCCTCACCTTTTTGTCCATAGATTTTGAAAACAGTTTGTGTCTTGATATTCATGTGTTGTATTCTATCATTTAATTGATCTGTAATGAGAATTTTGTTGTCGTTGAAAAACGACACGCCGGTGGGATATTTGAATTGTCCAGGATCTGTTCCTTCTTTTCCAATTTCAGTCTCAAACAGTTCCCTTCTTTATTGAATACGAAAACACAGTGTCCAAGATTATCTACAACAGCTATGCCTCCTTCCCTGTTTGGAGCGATTCCACTTGATCCCTTTAACTCTTGCCCTTGGATACAATTTAAATCCAACTCACCGACGACGACAAGTTCACCTTCTTTCACTGGCAAAATGAACGGACAGGTTGGAAGCTTTTCGCCATCAATCTTCACCTCAACGCTGTAGGCGCCAGGCACTTTAGGTGTAAACTTCAGCCTAATATTGCCATCTTCCTTTTCTTCAACAATTACGTTTGTTACATCTTTGGTGGGTTTTATTAGCAATTCAACTTGATCTTTAAGAGCAGCCTGGTAGCTAATGTCTCCTCTAGAAGGTTTAGGACATAACGTCAACTATGCTTTTACACCAGCTTGAAAAGTTTGATCCAGTCCTTCTATAGTTGATTTAGCTGCGTTTGCTGCATCCTCGTTGAGTTGAATCATGATAAACCCCAGTTTAAAGTCTTGTTGCGATGCCGCGATAAATTGGGCAAAAGTAGTCTGGCGATGTTTTGGAACTTCAACCCCACGAAGCTCTTCAAATTTGTGCCTAAAAGTTGTCTTGGCCTGTATAATATCGTAGCCTGAGGTTCTCTGCACCAGATTCTCTGCAAACTCAGCTGCTTGGTTTATTTTTCTCATTAGAGATCTCAGTTCTTGTTTAGCCGAGTTAATTTGCTCTGTTGTCTTCGTGCGCGTCATTTCTAGGGACTCTAACAATTGTTTTTCTTGCCGTCGCGTGTTTGTGATCACTTGTTCAGCTGTCTCTGACACTTCTTATTTAACGATTGCGATAATCATTTCCACATCTTCAGATGTTTTGTCCAGTTTTCCCGGCATTCTCTGCTCGACACAAGTTTGCCTTTTTCTTGAGAGACTCGACGTTCGACATGATGTATTCTTTATCCTCTTGCATTTCTTTTTGAATAACGTCGAACTCATGTCTTCGGTG